CCATAACATCCAAGTCCAGGAACCAAATTGTACGAGGTATTTGGTTATACATAAGCAGTCCTATGTTTCCATGAACAACTGAGTCGTTTGCCATGAGATCAAAGTAAATGGATGGTGTCTGACTAGGTTACTAAATATTTTTAATTTAAAAGAATCCATAGAAGAATCCTGATCAAAAGGGGGGAAATGCAGAAAACAATTTCATATTCTCATGCACTGCTGACTTTCTTGAGCTATGTGGGATGGAAGAACCCCTGAAACTACAGCCCTGAGATCATCTTAAAACCTTAAACCAAAAGTATCCCCTGAAGTCTTCTCAAATTAGCAAACACTAGTTTAGCCTAACTAGAAAAAAAGTTTCTATTAAGAACTATCTACATGAGATCAAACTGACAATGTTGTTAAGTGCCGCTGAGTCGATTCTGACCCATAGCGACCCTGTATAGGGTTTCCAAGGAGCAGCTGGTGAGCTTGAACCGCCAACTTGCAGTTCAAACTGACTTTGCAGTCTGATGCATTAGCCACAGCGCCACAGTAGAAACTCAAAAATTAGCCAGGAACCTTCGAGGGCAGAGACTTTGTTAGTGGGGGAGGAACCTCTCAGTAAGAGGGTAAGAATGCCTACACACTGCAAGGGAGTAATCAGTGTCACTAAATTGTACATGGAGATGTACAACAAAATAATTAAAATTTAGAAGGGAAAAAAATGGCTCGCTTGCTTCTTTTTTAGATAAATGTCACTTCCTCCCTCACCCTCACCTCAGTCATATCTCCTTATCCTGCTTTATTTTTATTTTTCTTCACAGTTCTCCTTTGCACATGATATTAACTATATAATTAGTTTTTTGAAATGCTATATTACTCTCACTGGAAAATCCTTTATACGGACTTACTGAGCAATCCAAAGCCTAAACAATGACTATCATCCTAAGCAAGCCTTCCTAAGTATCTGCCAATTACATTCAAAAAATTAGTTGTCTTGGGCTTTAGAAAACAATGAGCAGTCCCTTGTAGATAAGATAGTATACTTGAGTATGACATTATGGTGATGACTGGTCCAACAAATGAATGGAAGCCATTTTCATAGGACACCATTCTCTCCTGTACATGAGCATCTTCCCACTTTGTATCTCAGTAACCACAATTTAGCTTTCACACTTGTCATTCGTTTATATCTTTCTATTAAGAAATGGCATAGATTTGAAATCCTTTCAGATACAAATTCCTTAAAGTGGCAGATTATATGGTTGTTGTTGCTGTTGTTAAGTGCCATCAAGTCAGTTCCGACTCATAGTGAGCCTGTAGAGGGTTTCCAAGGAGTGACTGGTGAGTTTGTGATTTAAACGGACCTTGAGGTCCCATCAGGACTCCACAGAGCCAGCACACCAGCACTGGTTACATGGTAATAGAATAAATTAGTACCAACAGTACTGACTCTATTCCTCAGTGTCATCAAGAAAGAGTCTCTGCGAAAAGTACAGCTTTCGTTTTTAAATATCCATTCAAGTGTATTCCTTATTTCCTGTAGTCATTGTTCATTTTACCTTCTCTGGCCCACTGACCAGATTTCTGTATTCCATGGTCTTTTATTCTCCCTAAAGAACTCTGGTAACATTGTGGACTAGTCATTCGACCACTAGCCGCCAGGTCGGCAGGTTTGACCTGCCATCAGCTGTACCTCAGAAGAAAGATGAGGCTGTCTGCTTCTGTAAAAATTCACCTTCTCAGAAACCCAAAGGAGCAGTTCTACTCTGTCCTACAGAGTTGCTATGAGTCAGAATTGGCTCGGTGGCAGTGAGGTTATTCTACTTTCTTCCCCTTTTTATTCTCTACCCTTCTATCTTGGTAGCTAAACCAAAGTTCACATACAGACTTACACAGAGTTTTACTTAGTATTTGAAGGTTGATTACACAAATTGAGCCCTTCCTGAATTAAGAGGGCAAAGGTGGCCAGATGCGAAAGGTTTGGCAAATGCACAGAGCAAGTACTGGGTACGTGTTCAGTTCCTTGGTTGCGAAGCCAAGCTCTTGATCTTCCAAGTCTCTTCCTCACCCTTCACATGACAACTCCAGGACCTGGCCACATATTTTGGCAATTCATCCTAGAAGTATCAGATTTTAAAAGCTGGACTCGGTCTTAGAGATTGCCTACCTCAATTCCCTCAATTTACAAGTGAGGAAATAGAGGCCGGGAAAGGTTAAGTGACTTGTCAAGGGTCAAAGAATTAATGAGTTGACAGGGTGCAGAGATCCAGATCGCCTGATCACCAGGCCAAGACCCTGAAGAATGAGTGTCGGAAGAGTCTAAAAAACCCAACAGGGTAAGTCATTAGCAATGAACGAAAAGATAACAAATCAAAAAGAAAAGAAAAGACTGGGAATGAACACTGGGTGACTTCAAGTGCAAATCAATTCAATACTTAAGATATTCCCAGGTATTTATTTTTTAATGTTTTCAAAGTGAATAAGCCTATGAGAGTTCAGGGATAAACAAGAGCATTACACTGCTTCATAAAATCTATCTTATGGCCATTTATTTTCTCATATTTACTAGCTTTCAATGTAACGTCTTAATACACTTAGTGACTACTTCAGTGCACTGACCTCTAACGTATGACTCTGAGTAATCAAAAGCAGCTGACTTTAATGTGCCCGTGCTTTAGTGTGAATAAGGTTAAGGCTGCATTTGTGTGCAATCAGGTTAAGATTGGCTCCAACGGGGGAAAAAAACTATACATATGTTGAAAAGATCTAAAAAATGCCTGTATTCCCAACCTGATTACGACTTACATTTCTGCATGGTTTGTCCAAAGCAGATCACTGAAATCAAATCAAGATGTAAAAGGGGATAAAGTGGTTTTCTTTTCGATTCTTCCATCCTCCCATTAATCAGCGTGACCTAGGGAAGAAAGGCACTTCTCCCGCTCTCACCTGAGGCAAGGTGGATACTCCACTGGAAGTTATGCCAATTTTTATCAAATGGTGCTCAAGTTCCCAAATTACTTTTCTTGTTTTTTATTTCCTATGTTTGTACATAAAAGTTACTTCATGGCAGAGTAATTTGCCATTTCTAACAACTATCAATTAAAATTTAGTTCTATTTCTATAAACCTAAAACAAATCCCAAAATGGCTTTCAAAACCTACTTACTTGAAAGGTTATATAAAAAACCTGAATTTGTTCAAAGGAAAAGGTAGATATAAGAACTAGGGTGAGAGCTTGTGATTTCAAATAAATAAAACTCAGCAGAGCCTAAATATGAACTAAATCAGAGCCCATTACTGGTCCACTTGTTAAAAAAGAATATTAGCGGACCATACATAAGTATTTGTTTGGGCACAATGTGAATTACTGGCAGCATCAGGGTATATTCCACTAAAGAACTCTTGTTGGTAGCATTCAAAAATGTGGCTGCAATAAACATTATAGTTGAACAATTTAGCTGTTATCTACAAAATTTTCAAGGCTTGGTCAAAATAAAGAACTTCGGAGGGGAGGGGAAAGCGCTGGTTCTTGTTACACATAAGCATGTTTGTTATAGGAGCATTTTCAGGTTAATTTTTGCTATTAACGTAAACCACAATTGGGGGACCCTGTTGCTGGAAGAGGAATGGGGGGGGGGTTGTTATATAAACAATATACAACAAAGAAAGTCTTTCTTTCCTATACCTGAATCCATCAGGTTTGCTTTTAAGTACAAGGTTGCAGGTTAACTGCTCTCAGCTATCCAAGAAGTGGCTTATTAGTTTTGTAAGAAAATATTTTCTTATATTTTAACTGAAAAATACCCAGTTTAAATGAACAAAACCATCCTTGTTAGTGAAAAGCAGACCCAAAAAAACTGAGTTTCAAAAATCCAGCAAAGAAAAGCAAAACTAATTCAAGAGGAAAAACGGTTTTGCTAGTACTAGGTTCGGAATCTGGATCTAATAGTTCTCAAAAGCCGTTTGGAGTCTTCAAAAGTCTGAAAAGGTTTGTCTTTCTCCATGGATCACAGACATTCCCCATGAGGTAGCACAATACTGATGTAAATACCATTTAAAATATGTATGTGTTATTTTTCTGGGCTGTCGTCAGAAAGCTGAAAAACTATGCACTAACAGAAAGAATAAATAAAACAAAAGTGCTGATTATTTTATGAGGCAATTTTCCAAATGCAACTTTGTTTTTTGTTTTCTTTTGCTCTCCTGTTTTGTGCACTAGAAAATCCCAGCTCTATCCTAGGTATTGTAGTATCTGCTAGTGATGCAATCAAGGGTAGCAAGCAACTGATGCTATAAGAACCACAGTGACAATGCTGAGAAGTACAATTCAATGTATTGATTCTGCTTCACCCAGACCTTACTTATGTATACTGCTTCTAATTCCTAAATGGGCCTAATCTTGTTATTACAGAATCATTACTGCAAGCCTGCACAATTACTACAAAGACAAGAATAAACACACCCGTACCAGTAGCTGTTTTCTATAAATTATTATCAAAACAAAGAGAAACGGCAAATTGTGGCAACATTACCGACAACATTTATTCTGCCCAGTGTGTTTTGTTAAGTTTATTTTAAGTTGTCATTTTCAACTAGTAATGATGCAGATGATTTTAAAGATTCCATAAGCTTTCTAACATAAACGCTTCTCAACGGAAACATAACAGCTTCTCTCAGAGTAGCATCTACAAAGAGCTGATTTCAGTCTGATTCCACATGAACCTGCTTTTATGGTACATTAACCAAACACATGCATGAGCTTGCCCACTTTTTAAAATCTCATTTATAATCTACTCTTCTAAATTACCTTTAAGAGGTCATAAAAATAAATGAAATATTCACTTTATATTCTTCAATATTCCCTAAATAAGTACAACGTAGAATTTTTTCCCCTCACAAATGGCTATTAACAGGGTCCCTCATGGATAACCTCTGTTGTGAGGGAGGTAGCTAGGGAGGGGGAGAATACAGAAAACACACAGCACATTAGTGTGGACAGTAATTATCCAAACTTACCTCCTGGACAATGCCTCGCAGCCATCTTACATCTCCTGGACTCAGCAATGGTCGGGCATGGTATTGTGTCTTTTGCTGGCTTCTTAACAATTTGCCGTGTTCTGGTTTCCAGACCCCATTTAAATCCACATGTACGATTATTTCTGCTACAGGTTCCCCATTCACTCCAATGACCAACTTCACATCCTTCTAATGAAAAGAATAAAAAAATACAGATAGCAATTGTTATCCATTTTTCCCCACTCTCATAAAATTCATATAGCAATATTTCTCCACTCCTCCCTTGCCTTTTTTCAGATACCAAAAATTAAATTGTACAGCCCACATAAACCTATACTTGTCTTTTGGGAACTGAAGTAATTTAAAACAAGAAACAAAAGTCACCCATCCATTTGTCTTAGTTTCTTGAAGGAAAGCTACTGGTCCATTCAAATGGCACAGAAATGTATAATCTTTCAAAGGCTCAGCAGCTAAAACCTAAACTTGGTGTTATTGTTCAGGCCCACTGAGTTGGTGCCAGCTTATAGTGACCCTGTATAGGGTTTCCAAGGAGTGGGAAATCTAAAGTAGAAGACGCAATTTTCCAACCATGACAGAAGACAAGTCAATTCTCAACGGCCTGCCAACCAAATCTACAAATGTGTTTGTTTCACTTTGAAAAGTTGGGAAAGACAATGGAGAGGTTGTTTGCACTTTCTGATGCATATTCTTTCAACAGAGATTTGAAAATCACCTTATTAGCTAGCTACTTCACGCTCTTTAAATCATGCTTGGAAAAGTGGGTCAGCAAAGGAGAGGAAGACCTTCGCTGAGAAGGACTGGCACAGTGTCAGCAACAATGGGCTCAAACATAACAATTGTGAGGATGGTACATCACACAAAACAGTGCTTCATTCTGGGGTACACAGGGTTGCTCTGAGTCAAAACGCACTCAATGGCACCTAACAACGTTCTCTATACTGGCACTGTACATTACTAAAGTTTGAAAAATAAACAGACATGATTAGATACTTGAAAGTGTATCTTTTTCATAGATATGCAAAAACCTTTAAGCACAAGTGTTGTTGAAAACTAAAGTGACTCTCTCATTGTCCCTGGGAATGAAAGTAGTAATAGTTGAGTACCATAGAGTCAGTTCTGACTCACAGTGATCCAATGTATAACAGAATGATACACTCTCTTGGTTCTTTTATATGGACCCTGTAGTGTATCAAGTATGATGTCCTATTCCAGGGACTAGTCCCTCATGATAACATGTCGAAAGTACGTGAGAGTAAGTCTTGCCACCCATGCTTCAAAGGAGCATTCTGACACTACGTTTCTTCCAAAACAGATTTATTCATGCTTCTGCTGGTTCATGACATAGTTAATATTCTTTGCCAACACTGTACTTCAAAGGCATCAATTCTTCTTCAGTCTTCCTTATTCATTGTCCAGATTTGTCTGTGTATGAAGCAACTGAAAATAACAATGGTCTGGGACAGGCAAACTTTAGTCCTCAAAGTGACTTCTTTGATTTCTAACACTTTAAAAAGGTCTTCTGAAGCAGACGTGTCCAATGCAATACATGGGAAAGGGGTAGTACAAAAACAGAAAGATAAGTAAAGTTAAACCTTCTCATCAAATTCACCATTAAAAAGCCCCTTCACACTACAGGATAAAGAAGTAAGCCAAGAATCGACCCACAATTAGTATTCCAGCATTCTGAAGCTCAACTGACATTATGATTATTGTATTTTCCTTCAGAGTGATACAGACAACGCTCTCTTGTGTCATGAACATCTTTAATGGGTGTGGGTGCTGCCTCTCTAAAGCAAAGTCAACTTTCTCAATATGCTTTTCCAGTGATTATCTTATTTTTAATAAGCTATTTCCTGCCTGAATGTGTTAACTCACCTATAAATAGGAGCATGATACACATCCCTTCAAAAACTCCTCATGTAAATATGTTCTTCTCTGCAAATTTCCAATATATAATTATAGACTATTTCAGCAACATTTCTGCAGAAAGTATTTCTTAATTTTCTTTTTTAAGGTTCTACTTAAAGTAGATGAAGAGTTTCATTTTTAATACATAGCTCTGTTGTACATTATTATATTGGCTGTATTGTTGTGCTTAGGTGCGTCTGAGTCGATTCCAACTCCTAGCGACCCTATAAGCAACAAAATGAAACACTGCCAGGTCCTCTGCCATCCTCACAGTTGTTGCTACATTTGAGCCCAGTTCTGCTACTGCTGCTTGGCAATCCATCTTGTCGGGGTTCTTCCTCTTTGTCACTGACCCTTCACTTTAGCAACCATGATGTCTTTCTACAAGGACTGGTCTCTCCTGGTAACATATCTGAAGTATGAGAGACCAAGTCTTTCCATCCTGGCTTCTAAAGAGCATTCTGGCTGAAATTCTTTCAACACAAATTTGTTTGTTGTTTTTTTTCTGGCAGTCCATAGTACATTTAATATTGTTCTCCAACACAGTAATTCAATGCATCAATTCTTCTATGGTCTTCTTATTCATTGGCAAAAGAAAATACCATGACTTGAGTCAGGCACACTTAAGTCCTCAAACTGACATCTTTGTTCTTAAACACATTAAAGAGGTTTTGTGCAGCAAATTTGCATAATATGGTACAGCATTTGATTTCTTGACTGCTTTTTCTTATGTATCGACTGTTGATTCAAATAAAATGAAATCTTAAACAACATCAATCTTTTCTCCATTTTTCATGATGCTATTTTCTTTTGCCAACACTGTACTTTGTAAGGATTTTTGTTTTTGGTTTTTACATTGAAGTGAAAACCATACTGAAGGCTGTAGTCTTTGATCTTCATAAGTAAGTATTTTAAATCCTTAAGTAAGTATTTTAAGTGTCCTCTTGGGTTCCACCAAGCAAGATTGTATCATCTGCACGTCACAGGTTGTTAACAGCAAGTCTTCTTCCAATCCTGATGTCAGTTTCTTTTTCATATAATCCCTTCTTGGATTATTTGCTCTGCATACAGATTGAATAACTTTGGTGAAAGGATATAATCCTGGCACACACCTTTCGTGATTTTTAACCATTCAGTATCCCCTTGTGCTGTTTGAACAACTGCCTCTTGTTCTATGTAGATTCCTCATGAGTAAAATTCAGTGTTCTGGATTACTCATTCTTCACAATGTTACCAATAGTTTGTCATGATTCACACAGTCAATAGCCTGTGCAACATATCAGCTGTGTAACATGGCATATAAAAGTCAGGTGAGAAAATACATGAAAACTATTACACCAGTGATTAGATTCAGGCATTCATCAACATGTAGTCACTGAGAGATCTCTGTCTTTTAATCTATGGCACAGAAATAACACATTTTGAAAGCACTCATAAACATAAAATTTATAAAGTGTGTAATCCCCAAGTATTATTTATGTATAGTACATATAATAAGTGTAAATTAAAGTATGCATTCTGGGTATCTAAATTTGATGAAAGAAGTATAGTTATTTTAGTGCATGTGCAATATGCTATCAATAGTGAGCAAAATATATTTGGCACACACACAAAAGTCCTTAAAAATGGTGGTTTTGAATGATGTGGTTAAGAAGCGCCATAGTTAATATGCATAACAAAAGCAATAGAATAGTTACCAGACATGGTGGTGGTGCTATTGCTAACTGCTGCAATCCTGTACAGGGTTTCTAAGGAGCAGCTGGTGAGTCTGAACTGCCAACTTGTGGTTCAAACTGACCTTGTCGTCCAATGCATTAGCCCATAGTACCACGAGAACTTCACTTTTCTTCTAAATTAATTTTTTCCTCCAACACTTACTACTAATTTACTAAGATAATTAGAAATGGATGCATTACACAGACTATAAAAATGTCATTATCAGCACATAAGTAGTTCATTCTGGCAAATGTACAACTAGTAAGTTTCACAGCAAGATAGACTATACACACCACTCATCATCATCATGCCTAAGGAATTCAGAATGTCTGTACAGAACCTTAACTTTCACTTCCAATTAACAAGAAGAGAACAAATTTGGTTTTTAGCCTGAATACATCCAGCACTCATTTTTCAAGAAATAAGTGTTAAGAAACAAAAGTTGCAGTTTGAGAGTTACATTAAAAACCACTCACCCACACATTCCATGGTTTCATCTAATGGTGCAAAACCATCTGGACATTCATCAAAGCAGCGGCCTCTATGCAAATAAAAGCCTACTTTGCACTTGGTACAAAAGTCTTTGCTAAAGCAAGAATCACAATTTTCTATTCTGCATCCTAAAAAAAAAAAAAAAAAGAAGAAGTTTCAAGTGAAAAGAGGAAATAACATTTTCACAAACTCACCATTTAGTCCCATTGAGATTTTCATGGTAAAGAAATGCATTCTATACTCTTTGTTCCCTAAGTCATTCTAAAGCATTACTATCTCTTCCAACAATTCACTACATCAATTGTGTATGAGAGAAATGGCCATCCTGCGGCCATAACCTACATGAGTCCTTCCAGAAATCCTTATAACTCCCCAGGTGATTAAAACAGAGGATTAAAAATCATTACTAGTTTCATTGCTGCTATGATTGAAACCTGATAAGCCCTTCAGAATACTTACACTGGGAAACACAATGAGAACACCCTATCAGTCCTTATCTTCTGATTCAAGATAACAAATGAGTTAAAGATCATCATTTTGAAAAGATTTTACAATGCAGCAACAGTCTATTGTCTAGGATCTTAGTCAATGTTGGCATCTGCTTTCAGAGAGGACTGGACTTGGCGAGGAGGTTTAGATGATTTTATTGAAAGTCAAGGCTTTACATGCATTTTAATTTAATCTTCACAATAATAAGGAACTCTGGTAGCTGTCAATGGTGCTATAATGGTTACAAGACCAGCTGCTAAACTAAAGGTCAGTTAGTTTGAAACTACCAGTGGTTCCGCAGGAGAAAGATGAGGCACTGTGCTCCGGTAAAGATTTACAGCCTCAGAAACTCTTTACAGGGTCGCTATGAGTTGGAACTTAACTCTGTGGAATACTGCCGCCACCACCACCACCACTTCACAATCATTTTATGACCTGAATAGTAGCAGTCCCAGTTTTCAAATTAGAAAACTGAGACTAAAACGGATTATGCTACATTTAGTAGTGGCTGTATTGGTTCTGAAAGCCCAAAGCTGTCAAATCTGTTCTTTGATTTTCACAAGGAGCAGTTTGTGAAACATAGATGCTTAGAGGTCTGTTTGAGTCCTCCAGCTGTACTCTTACCTAGTCTGGGTTCATAGGTAGTTACGTTACATGCCTCTCTGAACATCTATTTTATATCTATGTATAAAGCACTGATCTTACAAGAAAAAGTTGCAATAATATACACAAATTGCTGGTCTTTGGTGGTGCTATGGTTAAGTCCTTGGCTGCTTAGCCAGCGGTTGACAGTTTGAACCAACCCAACGGCTCCACAGAATGACCTGGTACTTGGCTCCTGTGAAAATAACAGTTTCAATACCCACCTGGAGAAGCTCTATTCTGTCTCATGGTATCACTATGAGCTGAATCAACAACATAATAGATAATATAAGGTGAAGACAGGGGGAGGTTTGCAAGGGCTAATCTCTGCATAGATACATAGAAACACAGGCTGAATGGCTACGGGAGGAAGAGTGGGATTTTGAACTGCTGACTGTGAGATTAGCAGCCTGATTCATAACCCTTATGCTACCAGAGCTCCATATATATGTATACAACAAAAATATACAAACTCCATATATATATATGACCTGAATAGTAGCAGTCCCAGTTTTCAAATT